TCAGTTTGTTCTCTATAATTAAGAGTCTGTTTTACGGTTTGCCTCATTCTCTCTTTTTCCCCCCTATATTCATTTGTTTGTTCTATTTTAATTCTTAATTATTTTCTCAGAATTAAGTTTATAATAGTTTTTCTCAGCCTTAGATTTTGAAGAGATTTTTTTTTCTTAGCAATTAAGTAAAAAACTTATTTTGTTATTAACAGAGAAAGATACCACAATCACTATGTTTTTCTCTACCAATTTTGTGGTTATATCTTAAGAAACTGTCCTTTTATTCTATATGACTTGAGAGAGTCAAAATACTCCTACATTTGCATCACTCTTTTCCCTTGTTTTATTCTGACCAAAAATACTGTTTTTATCCAGAATGGATCATTCTTTTTTTTTTTTAAATAGGCTTCCAGCCACCCCCAGAATGGATTATACTGACTAAAAAATACTACTGTTTTAGCCAGAGTGGATTTTTATAGAGAGGCAGTAGAGATTCAATAGCTCTAGGTCTGGAGTCAGATTCTGGAATCAAGTCCCAGCCTTTTCCTCACCTGTGACCTTTAGCAATTTTTATTTAACTCTGTCAGCCTCAATCACCTCAGTTGTATACTGGGTATAGTAATAGTACCTACCCAATATGCTAGTTGTGAGGGTTAAACAAAGTGTTAAACCATGTGTGTTGCAATTAATACTTAATAAATTTTAACTCTTTAATCAGTATGTATGCTTTCTTAAATTTACAGACATATATTCCTGATATTCATTTGTAAATGAATGTATTTGGTATAAACTTGCATTATACAAAAAGTAGGTTTTTGTAGTCTGTCTGAGGCAACCTACATAGATACATAGTGTACCTAAAGTATAGTTGAATAAAACCCTGAAACCTGGCCCCCAGAAATAATATTCCTACAGAAAATACATTCAGAATTTCACTTTGAGGTTCCTTTCCCTTTGCACTGTTAGCAGGGACCTTGAAGCTCCTAAAAGCATGGTATAGCAGTGAGATGCAAGGAAAGGAATAAGAATAAATTTGTTAAGGGTGATCTATGAAAAAAGATTAAAACAGGGTTGTTTTTTTTTAAAAGATTTTATTTATTTGAGAGAGAGAGGGCACAAGTGGCGGGGGGCGGGGGGAGGGCAGAGAGAGAGGGAGAAGCGGGCTACCTACTGAGCAGGAGGCCCATCATGGGGCTTGATACCAGGACCCCAGCATCACAACCTGAGCAGAAGGCAGAGGCTTAACCAACTGAGCCACCCAGGCCCCCCCAAAGAGGAGTTCTTAACCTGGCACTGTAGCTTCAGGGAATCCATGAATTCTGTGAAATATATGCAAAAGTATTTTATGTATGTGAGATTATATTTTTTTAGATATAACCCATTAAGAGCTGCCAGTTTTCCTGTTATACCTCTAGGGATTTGTTTCTAGATTTTTTGTTTGCTTAAGATTTTCATTGAGACATTGACATTTGTTTTGATGAATTTTTTAGGTTTCTTTCATGCAAATGCATTTTTACTAAAAAGAATAGGTTCTTCAGCCAACTCTACCAAACCCCTTGACTCATAAATCCAGTACTCTTTCATAGTCTTGTGTTAATTTACAGATGACTTTGTCTTCAAAATCTTCCCTTATGTTTAATTCATTAGCCAAAGTTACAAACCTTTTTACTGTTCTTATATACGACACTCTTTTTTTTAAAGATTTATTTATTTATTAGAGAGAAAGCGAGCATGCTTGGTGGGGAGGGGCAGAGTGAGAGAAAATCTCAAGCAGACTCCCTGTGGACTTGGAGCCTGAGGTGGGGCTGGATCTCACAACCCTAAGATTATGACCTGAGCTGAAATCAAGAGTCAGATGCTTAACTGACCGAGCCACCCCAACACCCCTATATGATATTGTTTTGTGAAATAAATACTAATTCAGACTATAATCATAATTACAGAATTATTACTAATAACTTATAATCTAAAACCCATAGTATCTCCGTACCATTCAGCTGAGTGAACCATTTCAAAATGACTATTAATATTTAAAAGCCATGTGTAAAATGGAAATTCTAGTATCTTTTGATATATGGCACTTTTTCTAAACTTTATTTTTTTTTTAAACAAATGATTTTTTTCAACTTAAATCCCATTTGATCATATTGGCAATTTTCCAGCCAATATGTTCTTTTTCATCCTTTTAAAATTGACTTTGTCTTCTGCCAATAACCTGTCGTTGTGTTACTATAAACCATGGTCTAGAAAATCAAATCATATTCTTCAATATCATTTACACAGTCATATTTCATTCTCTGTATTTCTCCTCTGGAGGTCTAACCTCTAAGAAAATACAAATGCTTTCTTAAATGTTTTCATTAACAATGAAGAACTTAAAAGTCACTAAAAATACCTCCAAAAATTAGATTCACCAATCTCCCTCAATAATTCAATGTGGCCATAACTAGCAAGAAATATTCCTGTATAATTTGCTTACATTTCTTATGTTTTAAGATTTTTACTTTGCTTCCATTAAAAAAAAACAGTTGACCTTTCTTAGTATAGAAAATATTCACTTGATTAAAGTATATATGAAAAAGTATTGTAGATAAGGGACTAAATTATTGAGCCAGATTGCTTCGGTTTGAATCCCAGAGCTACAGTTGTTTTTGTTTGTTTGTTTGTTTGTTTTTGTTTATTTGTTTTTAATTTTATTATGTTAGTCACCATACAATACATCATTGGTTTTTGATGTGGTGATCCATGATCCATTGTTTTCGTATAACACCCAGTGCTCCATGCAGTACGTGCCCTCCTTAATACCCATCACCGGGCTAACCAATCCCCCCTCCCCTCTAAAACCCTGTTTGTTTCTCAGAGTCCATAGTCTCTCATGGTTCATCTCTCCCTCCAATTCCCCCCCCCATTTTTCCCTTCCTTCTCCTAATGTCCTCCATGCTATTCCTTATGTCCACAAATAAGTGAAACCATATGATAATTGACTTTCTCTGCTTGACTTATTTCACTTAGCATAATCTCCTCCAGTCCCATCCATGTTGAGGTAAAAGTTGGGTATTCATCCTTTCTGATGGCTGAGTAATATTCCATTGTATATATGGACCACATCTTCTTTATCCATTCATCTGTTGAAGGGCATCTCGGCTCTTTCCACAGTTTGGCTATTGTGGACATTGCTGCTATGAACATTGGGGTGCATATGGCCCTTCTTTTCACTACATCTGTGTCTTTGGGGTAAATACCCGGTAGTGCAATTGCTGGGTCATAGGATACCAGAGCTACAGTTTTTTAAGTGACCTTGGGCAACTTACTTAACTTCCCTTTGCCTTAGAAATTCTTTTTTAACTTATTCCCTCATCTTTAAAATGGAGAGACTAATATCTTCCTCATGGGTGATTATGAGGATTAAATGAATAAAAAGAAGTTCCTAGAATTTAGTATTGTTGTTTTTGTTAATACTGCCTCAAAAGTTTTTTTATAATAATCAGTTTCCTTTTTTAAAAAGAGCTTTATTTACCACACTTTTATTAAAGATTTTTTAAGATTTATTTCTCCAGAAACCCAAACCTGGAATAGAGTTTTGTTGTCAGACACAAGACCTGACTAAATCCTGGTTGGCTATTTACTAACCATGTCTGTAGACAGTTTTTTAAACTTTTAAAGTTTCAGTTTGTGCATGTATAATATGGGTACTATAGGAGAACCTACATCATAAGCATAATGTGGTGATTAAATGAAATATACTGCCTTTGGCCTGTGCCTGGCACATATTAAATACTCAGGAAATGGTAACATTTAGCATTACATGGTTCATGTCCTAGTAAAAACAGAATCAGTTGTGAGTACTGAGATTATTTCTTGGCTATTAAATATGCTTCTTAATTATCTTTGTGCAATTGCTTTACTTGCAGTTTGGGATTCACCGAAATCCTGTGTTTTGTTTTGTTTTTTCCCCCCACAAATCAGACTTTCTTACTTAACAAGTAAATATAACTTTCAGTTTTTGAGCATCAGCCCAGTCAACTGAGATTATTTTCATTTGAATGTTTATCTTTAGAAGATTGATTCTGGGTATTCTCCAAGCTGGGACTAGAGGTATCCTGTTCAGAGTAGCCAGATCAAACCATTGGACAATTTGCAATCTATTAGAAACAACTATGGCTGCTGAAAAGATAGCCTATTGTATTCTAGGGCAGCTCAGTTATAAAGATTATAAAGGTAGCTCTGAATTATAGGGGTAACGCAATGACTGCATTTTAAGGATTGGTCAATCCATGGAGATTTGAAGTGGGAAGATTATTGACCTGTAAAGTTTTCTCCAGTCTCTCCATCAGGCCTCTGGAGAATGCCTTGAATTGTAAATTGATCCCTTTTCTGGCTAGGTTCCAGAAGGTAAAAATAAGTATACTTTAGACTCTTTTTTTTTTTTTTGAGAGGGAGTCGGGGTAAGGGGCAGAGGGAGAGAGAGAGAGAGTTTTAAGCAGGCTCTACACCCAGCACAGAGCCCCATGTGCAGCTCAGTCTCACAACCCTGAGATCGTGACCTGAGCTAAAATGAAGAGTCAGACGCTGAACAGACTGAGCCACCCAGGGGCCCCCACTTTAGACTCTTAAGGCTTTCTCATTTTCATATGTATATATACAAACCAATTTGTTCTAACCATAGGAATTGCATATCCTGATTTGGAAATGAGGCTAAGGATTACTAGCTTCTCTGACAAATATTAGTGAGCTCTGTTTTTCTACTAGTAAAAAGCCTTATATTCAAATGATGATACTTTCCATAGATTTTAAGGTATTTAAGGCTTTTTATTGGCAATTAACAAAATTGGAATGGGGTACATGGAGCTAACACTGCCTTTTTTCTTCAGTGGATTCACATGTAGACTTAATTTTTTCTCATGAGAAAGGGTGTAAGTTTTAGATAGTTCAAATAACTAAGTTTGTTAAAACTATGGGAATTTTTTAATAATAATACAAGTTTATATTTAATATGTTTTCTTTTGTAGGTTTCTTCAGTTATTGGCGTGGCAATTTGGCAAATGTTATCCGATATTTTCCAACACAAGCTCTAAATTTTGCTTTTAAAGACAAATACAAACAACTCTTCATGTCTGGAGTAAATAAAGAAAAACAGGTAAGTACATTTTAATATCTGTTATTTTCTAAGAAATAGTTGGATTTGCCTTAACCTATGGTGTTTTATTTGGGGAGGAGGTGCTGAATGGTAGAAGAAATATTAAAACATATACATGTTATAATCACTATTCTACTGCACTAGGAAAGTTCAAAAAAAGCAGTCAACAGATTTGTATTCCTACATATCTGAGGAATTAATTTCCTAAAGAAGTACATTTTTTCATTTTTATGACTAAGGCTCTATTTAGCTGAGATTAAAGTGCATAGGGAGATCAAATCAAACAAAACAGAAAAGCAATAAGTTGAAGTTGGAGGATTCTTTTTTTATTGAAAAAGTACTTTCTCTTTTCAAGGTAATCACTCCCTTGATTACAGAATTTCAATTTCAAAATTTCCTATTTGTATGAACTATATGTCATTTGTTTTGGTTTCTGTTTGTTTTGTTGCCTCCATATACACTATACCACCTATGTTACTCTTAAGGTCTTCCCTTTACCCTTACAAAGTCTCTCTTCCCCTTTATCCTTTCTCTTTTTCTCTTTCCTCCAACCAGCCAACCAACCAATTGAGCTGTCCTAGGAGGTTCTTTATAAAAGCAGCTGTTTTTATAACATTTATTTTTTGCTACCTTTTTAAATTTCTTTTCATATCCTTTATTCCCATTTTTTCCACAATTTATATCTCTCTTTTTTTTAAGATTTATTTATTTATTTGAGAGAGAGAGATAGCGAGAGCAGGGGGACTGGGAGAGGGAGAAGCAGGTTCCCTGGCTAGCAGGGAGCCCAATGCGGGACTTGATCCCAGGACCCTGGGATCATGACCTGAGCCGAAGGCAGACGCTTAACCGACTGAGCCACCCAGGCACCCCTCACAATTTATATTTCATTAACAAATGTTTAATGAGTAATTTGCACTATTTTGTTGTGGGAGATATAAAGGTAATGAAGAGAATTCTTTAGACTCAGAAGATCTGGATTTGGATCCTAGTGCTCTGTTATTTAGCTGTGTGAATTTTTAAAAAGTCACCTCTGTGATCCTTAGTTTTCTCATCTGAAAAAAGCTTATGACGTTTAGATGAAATGACTTGTAAAGTGTTTATCATAGTACTGTGCTTTATGGTAGGCACTGGGAAAAATATTCCTGTCTTTTTTAGCTGACAGCTGTAATAATTGGGACTCAGAACCTGCATCAGAGGTCCCTAAGATCACCTTCATGTTCAGTGATTCACTAGGACTCAAAGAACTCAGAAAAGCTACTACACTCATGGTTTTTTACAGCAAAAAACTATAGATTAAAATCAGCAAAGGGAAAAAGCACAGAGGGACAGAGTCCAGGAGAAACTAGATGCAAGCTTCTAGTAGAGTCACATGGACAGTCACATGGACAGTACTTAATTCTCCCAGCAATGATGTGTGAGAATACATATGATGTGTTGCCAAACAGGGTTGCTCACTTGAACATTGGTGTCCAGGATTCTTTTGGGAGTTGTGTAGGCATGGAATGTGACTCTTAGCTACTCAGACTCCAGCCACTGCCCGCTAACCCAGGAGATCAAACTGATATAAGTTAACCCAGTGTTCCAAGCATACAAAAACAGGTGTTCACCATAAATTCTCATGTTAGCATAAACTGTCTGGTGTGGTCCAAAGCCTCCAGCATACAAAGAGACTCTTACAGGTCGGATATTCCAAGGGCTTAGACATTATCATGAAGGAACTGGTCAGGGGCTGGTCCTGAAGATCTCAGTATATGAAGGGTTTGGGCAATGCAGGCTTGCTGATTTAACTCTACTGAACACTTCCCACTCCACCTCCCCAAAAACATAATTTCTAGAAGACTAAGCCAAATGGAGAATTAACTCCTGAGTTAATCAGAATATTTATATTACTGGCATCTATTCCTAACAGTATAAATAACATTGTTCTAAAAGTTTTAAAGTCAACTTTGATCCTTGCTAAGTATCTGTAATAAATTTCAAATTAGTAGAACCTGAGGTAAAAACATCTTTAGTATTCCTATGAAAACATGCTATCTTATTTAGAATATAAAGGTATTCAAAGGTATATTAAATAAATAATATTTAAATATATACTATTTACTAAATTTGGATATTAATGACCCTTTTATTTCTGACTTTGGGCATCAAAATTTTATCTCATCTTTACCTCCCTAAAGTGAAGAAAAAGAACTAAAAAAAGGAAAATCATTATTTTTGGTTTCTTACCTGGTCTTAAAAGAAGCAAGGAAGAAAAAACAAATATAGTATGTGAGTTTAAAAGTGATTGATCTCCAAATGGGCAGCAGATACATGAAAAAGTGCTCAACATCGCTCGGCATCAGGGAAATCCAAATCAATGAGGTACCACCTCACACCAGTCAGAATGGCTAAAATTAACAAGTCAGGAAATGACAGATGTTGGTGAGGATGCGGAGAAAGGGGAACCCTCCTACACTGTTGGTGGGAATGCAAACTGGTGCAGCCACTCTGGAAAACAGTATGGAGGTTCCTCAAAAAGTTGAAAATTGAGCTACCCTACGACCCAGCAATTGCACTACTGGGTATTTACCCCAAAGATACAAATGTAGGGATCTGAAGGGGTACGTGCACCCCAATGTTTATAGCAGCAATGTCCACAATAGCCAAACTGTGGAAAGAGCCAAGATGTCCATTAACAGATGAATGGATAAAGAAGATGTGGTATATATATACAATGGAATATTATGCAGCCATCAAAAGGAATGAGATCTTGCCATTTGCAACGACGTGGATAGAACTGGAGAGTATTATGCTAAGCGAAATAAGTCAGTCAGAGAAAGACATGTGTCATATCTCACTGATATGAGGAATTCTTAATCTCAGGAAACAAACTGAGGGTTGCTGGAGTGGGGAGGGTGGGAGGGATGGGGTGGCTGGGTGATAGACGTTGGGGAGGGTATGTGCTATGGTGAGTGCTGTGAATTGTGTAAGACTATTGAATCACAGACCTGTACCTCTGAAACAAATAATACATTATATGTTTAAAAAAAGATAGTAGGAAGGGAAAAATGAAGGGGGGGAATCGGAGGGGGAGACAAACCATGAGAGACTATGGACTCTGAGAAACAAACTGAGGGTTCTAGAGGGGAGGGGGTGGGGGGATGGGTTAGCCTGGTGATGGGTATTAAAGAGGGCACGCACTGCATGGAGCACTGGGTGTTATACGCAAACAATGAATCATGGAACACTACATCAAAAACTAATGATGTAATGTATGGTGATTAACATAATAAATTAAAGAGAAAAAAAAGTGATTGATCTACCAGCATGAGCTATCACTGCCCATCTGTCAGAATGGTAAAATAGTGACAACACCAAATGTTGGTGAGGATGTAGAGAAGTTAGATTATCCTTATATTGCTGGTGGGAATGTAAAATGTTAACTGCCACTCTAGAAAAGAGGATGACAGTTTCTTATAAACTAAATGTGTACTTACTATACAGCCCAGCAGTTACACTTTTAGGCATTATCCCAGAGAATGAAAACTTACATTCACACAAAAACCAGTGTGCACAATGTTCATAGAAGCTTGTTTCATAATAGACCAAATTCACACAAAAAACAGTGTGCACAATGTTCATAGAAGCTTGTTTCATAATAGACCAAAATCTGGAAATAACCCAGATGTCTTTCAACAGGTGAATGGTTAAACTATGGTGCATCACACCATGAAATACTATTCAGCAATAAAGAGGAACAAACTTTTGATAAAACAAATATTGTATGATCCCACTTAGGTATCTAGAACAGGCAAATTCATAGAGACAAAAAATAGAATAAGGGGCTAAGAGGAAGGAAGACTGAGAGTTTTATCTAATGGGTACAGAGTTTCTATTTGGGATGATGTTTTGGAAGTAGAGAGTAGTGATGTGTTGGGTGTTTTTAAGTGATTTTATTTCTTTATTTGAGGGAGAGCACAAACAGGGGGAGGAGCAGAGGGACAAGCAGACTTCCTGCTGAGTGGGTAGCCCGACTCGGGACTCCATCCCAGGACCCCAAGATCATAACCTGAGCCGAAGTCAAATGCTTAACCAACTGAGCCACCCAGGTGCCCCAAGAAGAGTGATGTTTTTATGTTATTGTGAATGTACTTAGTGTCACTGACTTATAGACTTAAAAATGGCTAAAATGGGGGGCACCCGGGTGACTCAGTGAGTTAAGTGCCTGACTCCTGGTTTCAGATCAGGTCTTGATCTCAGGGTCCTAAGATAGAGCCCCATGTTGGGCTTCATGCTCAGCAGGGATTCTGCTTAAGATTCTCTCTCTCCCTCTCCTCTTGCCCCTCCCCCCGCATGCTCTTTCTCTCAAATAAATCTTTTTTTAAAAGACTAAAATGATAAATTTTATGTTATGTATATTTTATAATTTTTTAAAGAATAAACTTGATACAGCAGCAACTTTGAATGCTAAGTGAAAAAAACTCAATCTCAAAAGTGATTTACTTTCTGATTTCATTTATATAACATTCTTGAAATGTCAGTCATTGAGATAGAAACATAGTGGTGGTTGCTAGAAGAGAGGGAGGTAGTTATGGCTGTAAAAGGGTAGCATTGAGGGATCTTTATAATGGAACTGTTGACTGTGGCGGTGGTCACGTGAATCTGCATATGTGATAAAACTGCATATATCTAAATACACACACAAACAAATGCATGTAAAATTGGTGAAATCTGAATAAGATAATCTTCATCAATGTTGATTTCCTCTACTATAGTTATGCTAGATATTAGGGGAAATTAGTTGGAGGGTTTATAGACTCTCTCTGTATCATTTCTTAGGATGCATGTGAATCTGCAATTTTTTCAAAATAAGAAGCTTTTTAAAAATAACCATGGTGGGGGGGGCGGGGCGCCTGGGTGGCTCAGTCAGTTAAGCATCAGACTCTTGATCTTGGCTCAGGTCTTGATCTCAGGGTCGTGAGTTCAAGCCCCACGTTGGGCTCCATGCTGGCCGTAGAGCCTTCTTTAAAAAAAAAAAAAATAGTAGTAGTAATAACCATGATGGGGAGCTATATGCCTCCTATATATTGTTTCATTGAATTTTCACCTCACCCTTTGAGGTAGTTATTTCTATCCTAAATGTAAAGGTAAGGAAAACAAGACTCGGAGGTGAGAGCACTTGACCAAATCATTTGTTCAGGTCTTTCTAACTCCCAAACTCAGATCGACTTCAACTGCACTCTATTTCTCTGTCAGCTGAGGTGACTAGACTGAGTGAACCTTAGCTGAGCCTGGGCACAAAATGTTTCTCTGCCACGTTTTAGTAGCTTCCAGTACAACCCTTGACAAGGAAGACTAGAACTTCTCCCATCTCTATTTCATGCCCAGACAAACTTTGTTAGAAAAACTTCAGTTCTAGGGCATTTGTTCTTCAGTGCATCGAGTCTGTTAATGCGATATCTATTTGTCTACAGTTGAAAATAAACAAGATTATTTTCCTCCAAAACCCTCAGATTCTTTCATCCTCCTCTCCCTCCCTGATTTCTCTCCTTTTACAATATAGTAATATCTGAAATTACTGACTTACAATAACTGAAACTCTGATTTATACTAATACACCACCTCCTCTTGGTCTGTTTTATTTTCAAGCTTAATTGTGGAAGGATAGATTTTGTTATACGAACACTTGCAAGATTATAATAACATAGATACTTCTTTTCTCCCTCTCCTTGCTTTCATTCTTTCTTCCTTCCCCCTTCCTTTCTTCCATCAGAAGGTTGGCCATACTACTTACACATGTTCTGCCTGCCTGTGTCATTTTTTCCAAAGCCCCACTTCCACTGTCAGAAGTGTCATGGTTTGAATAATAAATTATATGATAATCTACCCAGAAAGTCATTAATCTGCCTTCCTGGGATCCATGAATGTTTGAGGAATACCTTAAACCACTAAAAGTGTTTATACATATGTGATTTTTATTGGAGGAGGTTCTATTGCTTGCAACAATTTCAAAGAGGACTGAGACCTAAAAATAGTTATTTAGTATCTTTTCCATTTCTGTCCTTCCTGTTAATTGGCATAGAATTTTAGAGTCAAATTCCTAAGAAATAGACTCTGGTCCTGCTCATCTTTTTCTACCAAGTTACAGATTATCTACTAGATTATGGATTAGCTACCTTGGGGTCAGATGCAATCTCCTGATCTAATTATCTCTGGGTAATTATGAAACATGGGTACCCATACAAAACCTAGGAGTTTCACTGAAAAGGAGCCATGAGAGTCTGAGGACAGTATGTGGGATTACTAGTACCTCATTAAACAGGTATTTATTGAATGCATTACTATTATTCTGGGCAAGGCCCATGACTTGTTTTGTGAAATAAACAGATGAATTAAGAATCTGGGCCTCAAAAAATTGCAAACAACCAAAATGTCCATGAACTGATGAATGGGTAAATAACACGTGGTAAATCCGTATAATGGAATATTATTTGGCAATACAAAAGAATGAAATGCTAATCCTGCTACCACATGGATATGCCTTGAAAACATTATGTTAAATGAAAGAAGCCATTCACAAAAGATACATACTGTGTTATTCCATGTGTAGGAAATGTCCATAATAGGCAAATCTCTAGGGACAGAAAGTGGCTTAATGGTTACTTAGGACTCAGGGGGTTGGGGAGGATGTTGTGTGACTTCTGGTCACTCCAGTGGGTATAGGGCTTTTTTGGGGGGAGTGATGAAAATGTTCTGAAACTGGTGATGGTTGCACAGTCTGAATATACTAACAATCCATTGAATTGTATGGTGAATTTACATTGGTAAATTGTATGGTGTATAAATATATCTCAGTAAAACTCTTAAATAACAATAATCCTGACTTTAAGAAATTTATAGTCCTTATGAGGTAAGATAAAACATATACAAATATTTATGAACTGAAAGTAGAAAGTGATTGTAAATACTATTTAAATGAGAATCTGAAACATGTTGACATATTTTACATATTGGTCACAGGATTCACCTTTAATTCTCTGAGATCTGAAGTAGTTATGGAGAGAGATGATTACACACAGTTTTGGATAGGTTTAGAGATCAGAGGTGTCATGGAAGAAGTTGAATTTGAATTAGAGTATAAATCAGTAACTTTTTGTTTAAAAAAGATAGGAAAGCCCTTCTAGGCCAAGAGAAAATTGAGAGTTCCAAAGCTGAGATTTAGAGAATAAAGCAAGAAACTGAACTTGACTAGAATATTATTCATTTTCATGTATTTTAAATGGTTACAGTGGCCTTGTACCCTAGATTTTCTATAACCACTCCAATTCAAATATTCCTTTCTTCTCCAGTAAGCTCTAGATATTGAAAAGCAGTTTACTGGACCTAAGCAGGGCACATTTTAAATATTTATCAAAAAGAACCTCAACAGCCCATGTGAACCAGTAGTAGATCAGTAAGGCCTAAGTTACATGCTGCTCAAATATATTATAATTGATTTCTGCCAATTTTCATGTCAGCAGTTGAAAATAATGTATTTTTTGAGCTGTTTAAATATCTACTAAAATTGCAAAGTGAAAATATGGCATGAAGTATTATTGCCCCCCATACCAAAAAAAGGGTACAACTAAAGCCTCCATAGATGTCTGATGTTTTAACTAACTAACATGAGTATTAACAAAAAATTTATATAGTCTAAAGAGATGATTATCTTATGTGGCCTCATTTGCTAATTTGGGCTACTTTTGCTGGAGGCAGTTAAAATATCTTAGAATTTCTGTATATCAGCATTTAAACTGTATCTCCCAGACTGCCTGGAAAGAAACAAAGCCTTCATGGACATGAAGGGAAATATTTTGGATAATATACATTATTATAAATGTTTACTTTATAAAAGCAGTTTGAATCTGGCTTCTTAACCTTTATAAAAATAAGAATTTTAAACAGATTCTGTAGTAACCACTTTTTAATTAATATGTTTCAGTTCTGGAGGTGGTTTTTGGCAAACCTGGCTTCTGGTGGAGCTGCTGGAGCAACATCCTTATGTGTAGTTTATCCGCTAGACTTTGCCCGAACCCGATTAGGTGCTGATATTGGAAAAGGTATAGGATTTTCAAAAATACTAACTCTCCCTTCGTGTTTTGAGTGAAGCATTATTTATTGTAGTTACGCTATAATGACAGCTTGAAATACATTCTAAAAATCTTACCCGCAACCAAATGGTAGAGTCTTGGGCCTAAAGATTACTACGTTTTTCTTTTCCCTCAAAAGAAGGAAGGGGAAGGCCAACACTGTAGTAACAAAAGAGCAAATACAAAGACTTCTTGTAACTTACTTCTAGTTTTTTCCTAGAGAGCCACCTCTTCTATCCCTCCATGAACTTATTCCTGTTATTCTGTATTCAACTATGGCTCCTCTCTAGGTTACATGTACAGCTCTCATCCTAGAGATTCCCTTTTCCTCTCTCCTTCCTTATTTTATTTATCACATCTTCCTGTGTTGTTGTTATATTCTTGTTTTGGTAGATTATATTCTTTAATAGCTTTCTAAGCTTTTTGAGAAGAGTGGATAGGAGATACATTGAGATCTTGCATGTCTAAAAATGTCTCTGTTTTACCCTTTTACTTACTATTTGGCCATATGTAAAATTCTACTTCAAAGTTGCTTGGTTTCACAATTTTGAAAGCATTTCTCTGGATTCTTGTTCTAATATTGCTCTTAAGTAACTGATCTCCTAACTTTTGTGTATGACTTTTTTTCTTTTTAATTACTTTATGTACCTGATGGTCTCGACATTTCACAATGATATATCTTGTGAGGCTTTTTTCAGCAATTGTGGAAGTAACTCACTTGGCCCCTTTCAGTCTGGAGCCTTGTTTTTAGTTCTGAGGATGGCAGAGGAGTAAGTCACTTGGCTGCTCAAGGATGAGGTTTTGAGCATCCAGATGCTACTTTGCGTTCACCATAAGAACAATACTTATTTCGTCTAATTTCTAAGTCTTTCTGAGGTTATTGGGGTAAAATGGGTTGCTTTTCCTTCTGCAAGAACGTAGGTTTCAGCTTTTTTCTGCTCTGACTTACCACTCCTCCATCTGCTTTCCATCTTGCTAAAATTTGTGGATTTCATTCTCTGCCATGTACTGTTCTTGCCTATATGGCTTTAAACCTGTTTTGTTCTTTTATTACCATTTTAGTGGAATTTCTTAAGAAAGCAGAGATTTATTCAACAAATACTTAATGAGTGCTTGCTGGGACCCAGACCCTGCCTCAGATATAAGATGAGAGACATACACATAGACACCCCATATAAAACATGGAGCTCATGCTCATGTACCTTATGGTTTAGGGGAAGACACAAGTAATAAAAAAATGAATGACCAAAATATACTGTCATTTAGCAATAAATGACATGCAAAGATATTTAGGAGCAGGGAGTGACATCAATTTTAGATGAGTGATTAGAGAAAATGCCTCAGAAAGGGTAGCAGTTTGAGCAAAGATGTAAATAATGAGTTCCATCTAACATGTATAACTGGCAGTTCAAATATTCTTGTTATTGTTAAGAAAGTGACAAAAACTCCTATATCTTGTTTTTAGTTCAGTTCTGTAATTTTCTATTCTCTCAGAATTGGGAGAATTTAGTTTATTTTGAAAACTATATTCTATACATACAATATTTTTAAAATATTGTCAAAGAGTTCTAGGTGAAGGGAAAATAAAATCGAAACCAGCAAACACTAGAAAAATATAACTCATCTAAAATGTTAATGATCCTTAAAGTTGCTAGTTTTTAACTTTGTCTTTTTACTGTATCTGTCTTTCTGCCTTTCAACTGAAGCAAGTCATAGAATTTTTCATTCCCATTTTCTGAACTCCAATTAGTAGCTTCTGGTAATTTTATTGAAATGTTTTAAGCCAGTCAAATTGCTTGAATTAGATTGTTTTTATAAGATTAATATTTTGAGTTAAAATCTTTTAAGATATTATTTGAAACCTTAATTCTCTTTAAAGAAATGGGAGGATTTTGATTTGTGTCCTTTTTTATTAGAAAAATTTCTAAATGGCAGTTTCAGATATTTTAAATCTGTAAGATTAATTTACTTTGATTAAAGTGTTTATCTGATATATAATGTTGCTAATACGTTTTAAATGGCTTTATTTTAGGTCCTGAAGAGCGACAATTCAAGGGTTTAGGTGACTGTATTATAAAAATAGCAAAATCAGACGGAATTGTTGGTTTGTACCAAGGATTTGGTGTTTCAGTTCAGGGTATCATTGTGTACCGAGCCTCCTATTTTGGAGCATATGACACAGTTAAGGTAATTTGGGGCTTTAACTGATATATATTAAATACATGGTTGGTTTCTTTTTATTGTTTTAATTAGTAGTTTGTTCAGCAGATATGAACTTTTGCTTTTAATTATAGAAATCAAAATAAATGATGAAATAAGAGACATAGAATCCTGTTTAATTGTGACTTTGCCATAACCTTATTGAATTATAACTCTATTATGGATCTGACTTTAGATATAAAGCATAAACCCAAACATTAAGTTTTTGTGCTGTTTGCAACTGAAAGACTCACTATACATCATGTTGCAAATAGAAAACATGCTAATTAGGCTTACATCATAATCAAATCAAATCTTTAGCATATAGAAAGGCATCTTCTAACAGTTTTTCTGATTTTACATTCATTTTATTATCACTTTCTTACATGCAGATAATCAGCTTACTATCTCATCATTTTAGAAAGTAGGCAAGGCATAACTAATTAGTTAAATGTAATAAATGCTACTACAGCTCAGTTATCTATTGGGTACTGTTAGATTCTGTATTGTATTCTCCAGGTTGTTCTGCAATTTGTCTTTTCATTTCAGATTTTAACAGAATTTCCATAAAGTAGGAAACAGGAAGATTGTAATAATGGCTACCATATTTTGAGTTACTACTTAGTTCTAGGAACTTTGTTAAGTCCCTGCAATAACCTAGGATAGCTTTTAATATCTCCCTTTTTAAAGATAAACAACCTAGGAATAGTTAAGCAATTTGTGTTGAGTGGCAAACAAAAATCCCATGCTCTCAGTCACTTCCAAGAGGAAGGAGTGAAATTAATATTAGTGTTGATTATAAATAAGATTAAAACTTGAGGGAAATTTTATATGTTTTACATATTGTCTTGGCCTTCCCTCATTAGTATAAATGTAATTGAAGGTCATTTTTATTGTGGTCTGGACATGTTACTTTCAGTTTCTTGTGTATTTTTTAGACAGACTAAGTTAATGGAAATTAACAAGTTCTTATGTATGTTTATTTAGTCATGGAAAACTTTATGTATGCTCTCCCTCTGTTTTTCTCTATTATCACCTGTAGTAGTTATGAAATTTAGGAGTGTTTCTTCACTAGCTTAGAGCTTTAAAGATGCTTATCAAATACCTATTGATGATAATGTCAGGCATTATTTAATTTTTTTTCAACTCTGAAGAAAGCTAAAAACTTTTTTGGTCACTGGCAGCTATCTCCCCTAGTGTTTGCCATTAATAACAAATCTTTGGTAATAGCAAGTATGCGTTCTTTTTTCAGGAATGCTTTTAAAGTAAAGCCATGTGTGGCATATTTCTTTCTTATTCATCTCCTGATACTATTTTAATCTTTCCACATCCAACTGTGTTTTATTGCATTTTAAGTATAATTGAACCCTCTTTCATTATAGGAAGTTATACTTTGACTTAAGAATTTAAGATATTTGGGAAATTTAGATGGTTACTTGACATATTTTTCTTTTCTAGGGCTTATTACCAAAACCAAAGGAAACCCCATTTCTTGTCTCCTTTTTCATTGCTCAAGTTGTGACCACATGCTCTGGAATTCTCTCTTATCCCTTTGACACAGTTAGAAGACGCATGATGATGCAGGTATTTTATATTATTATTTGCAAGTTTAATTGAATTTTCCAGTATCTTTGATATTCAAATATAATTTATTCAAATTTTAGAGAAATTTTGGCTGAAAGGCAGGTCATCTGTTTTACTTACTAAAATAAATGCATGATGTGCTCTGTCTTATATCCTTTCCTATCCCAAAACAGCCATCATCCAGCAAAAGTTTCTTCCTCTTCTGTTATTAGAATAGAAATGCCTTCCACTCCTGTAACATATTGTTTGAAAGGTGGAGAGGGGTGGCAGGGATTGGATGAGTATGTCTATCCTAAATGAATATTAGGTTAAGTAGAATAAACCCTGTCATAAGCCACTGACCTATGTCATTATTTGTTGTAATACGTTTTAATAAAAGTAAATAATTTTTAACTCCAAGGATGAAAACTTGTTTAAAATGATGTGCTCTAAGTATAAATCTCTGGGGCCCCTGGGTGGCACAGTCGGTTAAGCGTCTGACTCTTCATTTCTGCTCAGGTCATGGTCTCAGGGTCGTGAGCTTGAGCTCTGTGTTGGGCTTAAGACTCTCTCTCTCCCTCTGCCCCTCCTCCATGCTTTCTCTCTCTCAAATAAATAAAATCCCTAAAAATAAATACATAAATAAATATAAATCTCCAAATCAGAATTTTGGTGCAGTCTTCATTGATGTTACTTGTTACATTCATTTATTCAGCAAATATTTGAATGCCTAATCTATGCTAGATTACAGCAACACAAATAAAATAAGGTAGAACCTGTTTCCAAATTCATAGCATATCACTGAATGCATACAGTTAATGGTTTAAATAGAAATGTGCATAGGTTCCAGGAATGCAATAGAAGAAGGATACCTAAATGCTTAAAGTGATGAGATGTAGCCCCTTGGAGAGCTAAATCTCTGTAAATAGATTTTTTTCCTCCAGATAGTGAGAGAACATTCTAAGCAGAAGGGAAAAAACATACGTAGAGGTATGGCTTAAGGAGTAGTAGTAGTTCAGTATACCTAGATGATAAGGTTCATGAGGGCAATTGAAAATAAAATAATGAGGCCAGAAAGCTAGAATAGGTATATAATGCTTATTGTGTTCCAGATATTGTCCTAAGCATTTTGCAGTTTAACTCACTTAATTCTCAAAACAATGCTGTGAGGTGTAGTTACTATCATTATCCTCATCCTCATTTTATGTCTACAAATTGGTCCTGGGAGAACCCTGTAGGCCACCTGAAAAGGTAAAACGTACATATTATTATTCACTAATAGACTATTTTTAAAGTTACTCCTTTTACGTGTGTGTTTCCTCTTGATCTATATGTAGCTCTAGTTTAATACATTGAAAAACCTTTTTAAATGGAAAATTAATTTGTATACAGGCTGTGGATTAGGTAAACGATACTGTATTGATGTTACATTTTCTGATTTTGCCAACTGTACTTTGGGTTTGCAAGAAAATATTCTTATTTTTAGAAAATTCACATGGAAGTGTTTAAAGGTAAGGAACATGATAATCTGCAACTTACTATCAAAATAATTTTTAAAAAATTGTGAGTGTATGGGGTTTTAGATATATGTGTGTGTTATTAGCACTGCCATAAACAAAGCACCAGAGACTGGGTGGCCTCAGCAACAGAAATTTTTTTCTCACAGTTCTAGAGGCTAGAAGTCTGAGTCAAGGTGTCCAGCAGGGTTGATTTCTTCTGATGGCTTCTCTCCTTGGCTTGTACATAGCTGTCTTTCTCCTTGTGTCTTCCCATGGTCCTCTTTCTGTTTCTCTTCTTATAAAGATAGCCAAATTGGATTAGGGCCTCCCTAACAAGCTCATTTAATCTTAATTACCTTTATAAAGACCCTGTCTGATGAATGGATAAAGAAGATGTGGTGTGTATATATATATATATATACACACACACACACACAATGGAATATTACACAGCCATCAAAAAATGAAATCTTGCCATTTACAGCAACATGGATGGAACTAGAGGGTATTATGCTAAGTGAAATAAGTCAATCAGAGAAAGACAGTTATCAGATGATCTCACTGATATTTATGAAAATTTAAGAAACAAGGCAGAGGATCATAGGGGAAGAGAGGAAAAAATGAAACAAGACAAAACCAGAAAGGGAGACAAACCATAAGAGACTCTTAATCATAGGAAACAAACTGAGGGTTGGAGGGGAGTGGGGTGGTAACTGGGTGATGGACATTGGGGAGGGTATGTGTTGTAATGAGCCCTAGGTATTATGTAAGACTGATGAATCACAGACCTGTACCCCTGAAATAAATAATACATTATAAATACATACATACATACATAACCTGTCTCCAAATATAGTAACATTCTGAGGTATTGGGGATTGGGACTTCAATATATGAATTCTGGGGAGACACATAACAGTACTTTAATTTTTGTATTTTCATTTTATATCCAACAACTTTGTTAAACCCTATTACAAATGCTAATCTGTATGTACACTCTGAAGTTGTGTGGGGTATTTTTTGTTGTTTTACACACACAGGTATATAATCTGTGATTAATGCTAGGTTTCTTCCCCTTTCTTATCAATTCTTGTACCTTTTATTTCCTTTTCTTGCCTTTCTGCACTGACTGAGACCTCTGATTCAGTGTTATTAAAGAAGTAATAATTAGGGGCACCTGGGTGGCTCAGTTGGTTAAGCGGCTGCCATCAGCTCAGGTCATGATCCCAGGGTCCTGGGATCGAGCCCCGCATCGG